ATTGGGAATGGTTGTTCTCCTGAAAGCTTCAATCACATAACTCTGTCAAGGATATGTTAGGTAATACTAAGATCTTTCTGTGGAAGGTCCATGAGAAAACAAAGAAAAAAAAATCAATTGATGGAGTGGTAGCATTGAGGACTAACTTTTCAGTCTCCATTCCCAATTATGCTCTTGTACTATTATTTGTATAGTGTAAATTAATTTAATTTTTAATTTTTAATGGTATCTCCTTTTTAAATTCTTTCCATTTTTCATTAGTGTATTATAATTATACATAAATGGTGGATTTATTTTTGCATATTTATTCATACACACATTATAACAATATGATTTGGTCACTATCATTCCCTAATATTTTTGCTTTCCTTTTTCTTCCTCCCTCTTGTTCCTTTCTTCTACTGATGTCCCTTTGATTTTCATGAGATCTGTATCCCAACCTTCCTTTTACTTTTCATCTGTGGTTTCCATATATGGAGAAAACATTTGTGGAAAAGTCAAGGACCCTCAACTTTCTGAATTTGTCTTATTTCATTTAACCTAATGTTCTCAACTTCCATCAATTTTCCTGTAAATTTAGACATAATTTCATTCTCCTTTATGGCTGACTAAAATTTCAGTGTGTCTATATACCATGTTTTCTTTATCTATTTATCCACTGATGGACACCTAGGTGTTTCCATAGTTTGGCTATTGTGAATTGTGCTGCTATGAACATGAGTATGCATGTTTTGCTATAGTGATATGGCATTAATTCTTTAGGATAAATGCCCAGGAGTAGTAAAGCTGGGTTATATGTTGGTTTCATACTTACTCTTTTGCAGGAACTTCATATTGGTTTCTAAGGTGGTTGTACCAATTTCTATTCCCACCAACAGTGTAAAAGTGTTTCTTTTTCTCCACATTCTCTCCAACATTTATTATTATTGGCATCTTGTTGGTAGCTATTCTATGTGGAATGAGATAAATGTTTAGTTTTGATTTGCATTTCCCTGATTACTAGGGGTGTTGAACTTTTTAAATGTTTATTGACCATTTGCATTTCTTCCTTTGAAAAGTGCCTGTTCATTTGGTCATTTATCAGATAGATTATTTATTTATTTCTTGGGGTTAAGTTTTTTGAGTTCTTCATATATTCTGGCTATTAATCCTTTGTCAGAAGAGTAGCTTGCAAAATTTCTTCCATTTTGTAGGTTCTTTATTTCATTCCTTTGAATTGATTCCTTTAAAATCATTGTGATTTCTTTCTTTTTCTTTTTTTTTCTTTTCTTTTTTTCTTTTTCTTTTCTTTTCTTTCTTTTTTCTTTTTCTTCCTTTTTTTTTGGTACCAGGGATTGAACTCAGGAGCACCCTGCCACATCCCCAGCTTTATCTTGCATTTTATTTAGAGACAAGGTCTCACTGAGTTGCTTAGTGCCTTGCAGTTGATGAGGCTGGCTTTGAACTTGTAATACCCCTGCCTCAGCCTCCTAAGCCATTGGGATTATAGGCATGTGCCACCTCACCTGGCACAAATGTTTGTTTTTCTAAATTGGTGTCATCCCATTTATTAACTCTTGTTATTATTTCCTGAGCCTTAGGAATCCTTCATAAATGTCATTGCCTTCATTTATATCTTGGAGTATTGACCCTCTGTTTTCTTCTAGGAGTTGCATATTTTCTAGTTTAATTCCTGGCTTGAGTCATTTTGACAATTTTTTTTGCAAGGTAAGAGATAGTAGGGACCAAGCTTTATTCTTTACACATGGATATCCTGTTGTCCAATCACTGTTTCTTAAAAAGGCTACCTTATCTGTAACATATCTTTTTGGTATATTTATCAAGGATCAGATAACTATATCTGTGTGGCCTTTTCTCTGCTTCTAGCCTTTCCCATTGGTCTATGTGTCTCTTTATGCCTGTACCATGCAGTTTTTGTTACTATGGCTCTCTAGTATAATTTGAAGTCACGTATTGTGATGCCTCCAGAATTGCTTTTATTTTCTTTCTTTCTTTTTTTTTTCACTTAGCTACTGTGGCTCTTTTACTCTTCCATTTGAATTTTAGGACAGTTTTTTTTTTCTAAATTTGTGACAAATGCCCTTGGTATTTAATGGGGTTTGCATTGCATCTCTATATTGTATTTGGTAGCACCATCATTCTGACAGAATTATTTCTTCCTATCCATGAACATGTGAGTTCTTTCCATCTTCTAGTGTCTTGTTCAATTTCTTTCTTTAGATTTATGTAGTTTTTATTGTAGAGTTCTCTCACAACTTTGGGTAGATTTATTCCTAGATATTTTATTTTTAATGAGGAAATTGTAGATGAGATTATTTCCCTGATAAGATATAGGAATTATATAAAAATAGTAGCCTGGTGGAGTAGAGTGCTATTTATATGTGAAGTTTTGCATGAACTAAGCTTTTCTAAGAAATTTTAAAATTAAAATTAAAAATTTTAAAATTAATGTTTATTATGATTAAAAACAGCAATAGGATGCATGAATAAGCATTCCGAATTATATACAAATTATGGAGCCTCTATCAAGTTATCAGATACCCACCAGTTATAGAAAATATCTGTGCAAACATTAAAATTTTGATGTATTAATTTACACTTAAAATTTAATTCAGACTCATAGGAAACTGATTTGTACAAGAAGGTAATACATGTTACAATAATTAATTCCCTAGAAACAGCAATCATATAATAGTTATAATTTCAATTAAGCTATGAAACAATATTGTTCTAGCATATTTTAAGAACTTTTATATCTGTTGCATCATTTGTTCTAATCAGAAATTATCAAAAATTCAGTTTGTAGTCTTGCATTAACTAAACGTTCTTGGCATCACTTCCAATAGTAGAGCTTGAAAATGAAGTTGCTAAGAAAAGAAATTTTGAAAATCTAATATAATAAATTGCATAAGCATAATTCAGAAGTCTTATTTTAAATTTTGTTGGTTTGGGTCTTCTCCCTCTTTCTTTCAGCTGGTTTGGTTAAGGGCTAATCAATCTTGTTTATTTTTTTCAAAGAAACAGCTCATTCTTACATTGATCCCTTGTATTGTTTTTTATTCTTAATTTCTTGTTAGTCTACTAGCAAATCAGTCCACCAAGACTCACTGGCTGCTATTGGAGTGAGATATAAGTGACGGGCCATCCTCAATGCCCAGATCATCTCTATGGCGTTTCCTAAATGTAGCAATGTATATTCATTAGCCCAGGAAGCCATCCCTGAAGGAAGAATACCAACATCGTCAGCATCACTTGTACATTGTCAGTCAGAATGATCATTGAAATTGAGACACTAAGGACAACATTTTCCTCCTGCAGCTGACAGTCCCTGAAGGTGGAAGAAAATCTTTTTTCTGAATGCCACAACTCAAAAAGGCAAACATTGACACAAAGTATTTGTATCCAAGAATAGGAAACTTTGTCCAATGAAAGGTTGAGAATTCGATCATATGAGAATGGGCAAGAGTATAGAAGAAACTTAGAATGGAGAAATGTTATATATATGGACACATTTTATATACACACACACACATACTTATTTTTTGAGTTGAAGTTTGTCATCACAGATGTTCTTAATTAATACATCACAGGTGTTCTTTAATGGCATGAGATGTGATTCAGGAGTTAGATTTACTCTTTGTGACTCCAGGGGAGTATTGAGGACAAATCTGAAGAAAGGGGCCTTTACTCTGAAAATGAGGTCATCTTGTTTTGCCAGAAGCCATTGATCAAAGTTAGTTTGGGGGGTTCTGCCTCCTCCCTTTGTAATATTTATTTTACACAGGCAATTAGTAGGCTTCCCTAGATTTTTGTCTTATACACATTTTAGGAAATATCAAGGAATTAAAATAAATGAGAGCGGGATTTTTGTTATTGTGGTTTTGGTTTTTGGCAAATAGAAATGATCTTGAAAATGTACAGAACTGAAGTATTATATCAGAGTTTTTGGGAAAGAACTTTGTAGTGGAAATCTGTGAAAAATCATTGATTAAGTCATCAGAAGTCCATCCCAGGAGGATTGGTTTATAGGTTAAGAGGAAATTTCAGGGAAGATATGAAATATCATTGCATTTATAGACAATAACCCGTTTTGATAGCAGAATATAAAGTCATGTCAAGAATAAACTCGTGTGGTTACAGATTTTGAATATGTAGTTTGATGTTTTTTTGAGCATCTCTTTTCTTTCTCTCAGGACTTTGCAGAATAGAAGCCATCAAAAATAGAAAAAGGCTTCTTAAACCTCAAATTTCTCATTGCAATTCAATCCAATCTGTGCACCTGTTTCTGAAGTTGGAATATTAATGACTCAAGAAATGTATCCCTGTACTCCTTTACTATTAAGATTTGATCTTTACTTTTTATCCCAGCCACCTTTACTGAGGGAAGATGCCACAGTTTGACCTTGGTAATGTCCACTCTCTGGGAATGATAAGTTATGGGCAGGACCAGGCTTAGAGGAGTATAGCCTGAGATGATGTGCAATTCCAATATTCAATGGTCTTCTGTCTTACTCTGTTCTTTGGCTTACATGTTCTTTTGATGAAGAGTTTTTCTCTGTCATAGAAATATATTGGAGGAAGATTTTTCTGTAAGGGAAAGTGTTAAGTTTCCCTTCATTTACAAGAGTGCTTCCTTGATTTCAAACATGTGAAGTCAGCCCATGGTTATATCAACACCAGCAGCATCCATTACTTTCCAATTTATTAACAATGACTCAGTAGTGTGCACAAACAACAACCTTTATCTCTACATACTAACTGTTCATTTAATTTCTGATCTGATACCTACTTTATTAAACCTATTGCCACTTTTATGTTTCTAAATTCCTCAAGGGGGAAGGAAAGACCGTTTTACTAGGGAGTTCAGTAGTTAAGGATGTGACCACAAGGGGGCAGTCTACCCTAGCTGGTGCAGAATAGGCGGAGGGTTTTTTGTAGTGGATTCTGAATGAATAGGCTTACAGCAGAAGCAGAGCCTCTTTCTTATTGAGTGGGTTGACAATAAAAGAAGCCACTATAATTGTTAGGGGAAAACAAGTGACAACCTGATAATAGAAGAATCTCTTCTGGCTAGAGATATCAAATCTGTGAGCTAAAGGGAAGAACAATGAAGACACTGGTTTATTCTTTATTCATATTCTTGTGGATACAGCTGAGCTGTGAGTTGAGGATTGGGGGATAGTAGGGTATATATTGGATGTTCTTTTAATGTCCAGGAAGGATATTGGGTTTATTTAGATCTCCTGAATGTTCTGGAGAAAAATAAAATTCCAGAGAGTAATGATCCAATTTATTGTTTTTCTTTTTCCTTCCCAGGTGTGAGCCAAGGAGAGAAGGTGGAGCAGCATCCTTCTACCCTGAGTGTCCAGGAGGGAGACAGCATTGTTATCAACTGCACTTATTCAGACAGTACTTCGGTCTACTTTCCTTGGTATAAGCAAGAAGCTGGAAAAGGTCTCCAGATGATTATAGACATTCGTTCAAATAAGGAGATAAGTCAAATCCAAAGATTCATTGTTGTGTTGGATAAGAAAGCCAAACACTTCTCTCTGAACATCACAGCCACCCAACCTGGAGACTCAGCTGTCTACTTCTGTGCAGCCAGTACACGATGCTTCCCAGACACCTGCAGCCTGTACTCAAACCTGCCACTGGGCTGAGCCCCACCTGCTTCCCTTACCACAGACTTTCTTTTTGCCATATTGTTTGAAAGTAGTCAATAGCATATTAGTATATAATAAGAAAGTTAGGTACACTATGAACCAGGTGCTTAATATTTTTTTTTCTAAATGTTGCTTAGCATTTTTCTAAAATTTGTGTGTATATTTAAGGTGTACAAAACATGATTTTTGGTATACATATTCATAATGAAAATTGCACAGATGGATGAGGAGATGCATAGGGAAGGCATGGGGGAAGGAATCCCCAAACTCCAGGTATCTCCACATGATTAGCAATCCTAAAGTTGTGCTTACTGGATTCTTAAGGGGAATGAGAATTGTTTTGCCTTGAAATCTAGACACTGAAGATGAGTTTACAGTTGCTGTTCCAACTCCTCTCATTTCAATAAACCCTTGTGATCAATATCATAATCCCTGTTATTGGTGGCTCTTGATTCTTTAGATATGGCCTTCTTTATTTTTTCTGACCAGAAAACATTACATGCCAAACACAGAAAACATGTATGATACAAAAAACATGAAACTTATAATTTTATACCCAATCTGTTTCCAATATTTCTTCAAAGAATACAAATAAGTACATATATAGAATGAACAAATCTAGAGATCTATTATACAATATAGGGTATATAGTTAATTACACTATATTAGGGATTTCTGACAAATAAATAAGATTTTAGTTTTTTTGTAAAACAGAAACTTACTATGGAAGTTTATATTGCTTCACTATATAACCATTATAACCATTATAATCATTATATATATCCTATTATAAAACCCCAACATTACAAATAATTTATTTTGAAGAAACATATTTATTTCCATTTATCCATGCTTTTCTTTCTTGCTAAAACTCCATTTTATAGTTAAATTTATTACACAACACTTAATTTTATTGCTCTTTTATTTCATGTGTATATGAAAAAAATTATATATCTATGTACATATCTAGATACATATATATTAACCCCCACTTTACTCAACTGTAGTGGGTTACAGAAAGAATGTGGTTAAATTATTATATAGAAGAATTAACTTTTTGGTATACAGTACTATCTGTGAACACTGAATTCTATATAAGTCTGTGCATTCATTGCATAATCATGATACAGAATAGTGTCATCACTTCAGAATCTCTTTGTCTCTCCTATAGTAATCACCCCCTCCCATCCCTAAGTCCAGACAAACAGTGTGTTCTTTTCTATTTGTGACTTTGCAGAAGAGCCTGTAAATTGAATCATATAATTTAAACCTCTGAAGAAATCTGAGTCTTGGATGGAGGAAGGACATGCCATTGGGTACACACCAGACCTCCATCTTTGAACCAAAATCAGTTGTTCATATTCCTGAATGTTTTAAACTTTTATGTCATTCCATTTTTAAAAAATCATCATTTGAAACATTTCTTTCTCCTTGAAAATCTGATTTCTGTTTCTACCAAAAATGGAAAAAATCTCCATTATTATGACAATTGATAAAGGAGAGTTTCATTTGAGTGTTATGTCAGTTCATACAATCAGGTTGAGTTATTCTCTCTACATAAATTTAACTGCATCAAATGTATATTAAATGTTTATCAGTAGATACATTTCTAACATTTTAAGTCTAATTTTATTAATCAAAAGCCACTTAAGCTATATTTCTTGAGCCTGGGTTTTTTCCAGAAATGGCATTGAATGACATAGCTAACAATTCTTTAGGTTTGATTTACTACTAATACCTTTGTAGATCTGAAATAAAACACTATTTTGGCCACAATAAAGCCTGTACCTAGTCAAGTTATTTTACTAGTAAGAGAACAAAATAGGGTAAATTAGAAATATGTGACATTCTACCAGTAAGGTGAGAAAATTCTATTAAAATATAAAAAAAATGAGAATTGGATTGGAAATACTGCAGTGAGTATTTTTATTCATCTAGGGTATTCTGTTCTGACAGTCTTGGAGGGGCTGGGGATGTGGCTCAAGTGGTAGAGCGCTCGCCTGGCATGCGTGCGGCCCGGGTTCGATCCTCAGCACCACATACAAAACAAAGATGTTGTATCCGCCGATAACTGACAGTCTTGGAGATTCTGTTTACCTTGTTCTACGGCTTGTGTGTTTCAAGGATCCTAGGTCAGCACTCGTATTCTGAGGATTGTCTGCTTATGGAATTCTCTGCAGAATCTTAAGATCTTTAATGTGAGTTATTTTTTAATTTTTGTCACTTTAGGACAAGATAAAGTGATTTCATATTAGTTGTTAAATGCAATTATATTGTACTTTATTTGTTCACCTGGTAGTAAACAGCTCTTAGGTCATTTTCTATAAGGTTCAAAGGCAACCTTCTCTGGGTTGTTTCATCAGGTCATCTAGGTTTACCCCATGTAAGGGCTGATGAAATCAGAGGCCAGGAAAGGCAACCTGTTGGCATGTTGATGAGGATACTGATTCATGAGTTTACTTATCTAGTTAAGTTTGTGAAACATGGAATCTGTATAATTTGGGAATTACCTGTACCTACTGGTGACTAGTTCATAGCAAGACAACATATGACTTCCTGTGAGGGGGAAAAGCAGGGCCTCGAGGACATGGGGGCTCAAGCATGTCTGATAAACTAATTAATTTCACCTGATTTTTGTTTTTTCTTTGTGGCACTGGGGGTGGAACTCAGGGCTTCACATATGCTAGGCATGCGCTCTACTGCTGAGCTGTGTTGTAGCACGACTCAGTACTTAATTTGATTTTGTATATTTCATTTGGTTCCACATTTTCAGAGGATAGTGAGTTGATGAAAAAAAAAATGAAATTTCTGAGTGAGGACAAAGTCTCGCCTAATTGTCCCAGAAATGTCTTCATATGAGTTGAATGAACTCAGGCAGGGAACACAAATTTAAGCTGAGTTTTGTCCATCATAGGTGGCTTTCTGATAGGCGCCTGCTTCAGCTCATGTAGAAAATAGAAGACTTAGGGGTACACACTCATGACTCACACAGGTGTTGCACCTTTGTGAAATTCTTTTGAAGATGATCAAATGGTTCCACAGGATTGTATTCCTGTTAATGTCCCATCTTTACTGTATTTATGGAACTTTTTGGTCCCAGGAAAGGCATGAACTGGCCACATCCTCTTCTATGCTAGGAAAGTTTCCCTACAAGTAAGTGTTCATTTAAAGTTGTAGCCCACATGTTCCAACTGTGATGTGTTATCTCTGAGGACTTAAGCAAGCAATCATTGGAGATCAGCTGGCTCTTCGGGGGGGATGGGTCTTTCTGGCTTTAGTAATATCTTGTCTTCAATGATCAAAGAAATATGTCTTTTGTAGTGCAAACTTGGGAACCAAATTTTCTGGATCTGAGATGAAATTGTGGAGCTTTTCCATGAATCTTTCTTTTTGTTGTATAAGATATCCTTACTAAGGACTATAGTCAGAAATGCATGTTAAGTTCAGCATGATCATCTGCTCAAGCATCACCCTTCCCCTGCTTCTGTGATGACTCTTATAGTGTGGGACCTTGTCTTCATGACAAAATTTCTATGATTAACATGAAGACATCATGTATTTTAAGTATTTAGGGTCTATTTTTCAATCAAACTATCAGATGAAGAAGAGGCTAATAGGGTTAAGAAACATCATAGTCTGAAGCCTTGGAGGCTTTTAACTACATTGCAAGATGCTGACATCATTGTATATTTTTTCTGTTTTCATATTCTTCAGAGGGATCCACAAATTCAGTAACCTGATTTAATTTTTCTTCTACTTTAAGACTCGATATATATCGGAATCTGGTATTATCTTTATTGAAATTAAATGTAATTCAAAATTTGGTATGAGAGTGTCAAAATATCTTTTCTGGATGTGGACACTTTTGTGGGGGCTAGGTACCAGGGATTGAACTCAGAGTCACTCAACCACTAAGTCACACCCCCAGCCCTATTTTGTATTTTATTAGAGGCAGGGTCTCACTGAGTTGCTTATCTCTTTGCTAAATTGCTGAGGCTGGCTTGAACTCTAGATCCTCCTGCCTCCGTCTCCCAAACCACTGGGATAACAGGCATGAGTCTACATGCCTGGCCTGGACACTTTTTGAATAACATAAGTAAAATCATGAGATTTCTGTGAATGTGCAGTATAATGGATTTAAATAGTATGAGAATAATTTCATTGTATCTCTTTAATTAATTAGTCATCCTCCTGGTAGAAAAATGTTCCATGTTATTAGAGAGCAGAAGTTGTCCTGTTTGTAGCATAATCAGATTTAGTGTGACTCTAGTGCCAGATCTGAAGTCTGTGTTGGTGAGACCTTCAGCCAGCCACAGAGAAGTTTAAGATGACACATGCCACCTCCTGCTCCAGGAAGCCTCTGTTTCCTGTTCTGGTGCAGGAGCAGCTCATAGCCCAGTGGTTCCTCCATTACCCTGTGGGGCTCCCCTCCCAGTGCAGAGCCTGAAATCCAAGAGGAAACAGATCCTTTTCATCTAGAGGAAGAACACCAACATGGTGCTGCCCAGGCTGCTGAAGCTGGTCATGGTGTCTGTGTGGCTGGGTAGGGATAGACCCTGTGGTAAAGGGTCTCCTCTGTGACCAAGGAACTGGGGAACAGAGTAGCTTTAAAGGGACTTTAGAAGGGAGGGTTAGCAGGGAGCAAAATGCACTTTTTTGTCCCCACCACTTGTCCCTCAACTTTCTGATTCTGTCTTTTTTCCTTCAGGATCCAGTTCTGCCCAGAAGGTGACTCAGGCCCAGCCAGCCATGTGGGTGCAGGAGAAGGAGGCTGTGAGCCTGCTCTGCTCCTATGACGCCAGTGGTACAAATTATGGTCTCCTCTGGTACAAGCAGCCCAGCAGTGGGGAGATGGTCTTCCTCATCCTTCAGACCTCTTACAGCCAGCAAAATGCCACAGAAGGTCGCTACTCAGTGAATTTGCAGAAGGCAAGCAAATCCATCCAGCTTGTCATCTCAGCCTCACAGCTGGGGGACTCAGCAGTGTATTTCTGTGCACTGAGAGATGGCACTGTGAGAGAACTGTTGGAGGCAGTTGTACAAAAACCCAGGGTCTGCCTGAGACAGCCACCTGCTGCAGGGACCAAGGTAGACAATTACCACCCCAGACAAGAAGTGGCCAGGGCTGTGGCAGCTCATGTCTGGGGTTGGAGGGAAAACACTCACTCTGAGGAACCTCTCTCTAGGTTCATAGACCACATCAGAGTTCTCACTAATCAAACCAGCCATATTCCATAATCTCTGGATTGAAGGTGAATACAGATTTTTTTTCTTTTTTGGTACAGGCATTGAACTCAGGGGCACTCGATCACTGAACCATATCCCTAGCCCTATTTTGTATTTTATTTGGAGACATGGTCTCCCTGAGTTGCTTAGTGCCTCATTTCATTGCTGAAGCTGGTTTGAACTTGAAATCCTCCTCTCACAATCTCACTGGGATAACAGGCATGCGCCACCACACTTGGCTCAAAATTTTTGACAGAAGATAACAAGGGAAGAATTAGCACAATAAATAATTTGTCCTTTGGATATAAAATTTAGCTCAAAGAATTGGCTTAAGTAGTTCAGAAACTTATGACTGAAAAGTAGTAAAAATCTATATGAACTCTTAGATTTTCCATTAAGTATTTATTGAATAAAGATTGTGTTTCTAGTGTATTTTTAAATAAGGAAGGCCTTGAAATCTGCATGTGTCTTTAAGAAAAATTATGCTGTTTCATACAATCTAATAAATTTGACTTATGTTTGCCTTTCTTGAGTAAAAGGTGTTCATAGTTACTTTCTAAATTTGTCTATTGTGCTACATCCCTTATGCTCTAAAAGTTCCTTACATCTTCTCAACAACTCTACCATGGAAGAGCCCCATTCCCATACTGAAATCTTTGTCTCACTCTTCACTTCTACAGAAAGTTCAGTAACTAATAGCTCTTGGGTATGTGGAGGATCCACCCCACAGAGACCTCTTTACAGGTAGATAAGAGAATATTTTTTCCTAAAACAGTTACCATACTTTAAAAATATTAAATTCCCATTCTCAGTATTAATATATTCCTGCTTGATTTTTTTAGTTTTATTGTTCAATTTATTTTATTCTATGCCAGTCACAGAAAATAGTAAAACTTATTACTTGTAAGGACAAATCACTTCTAAGCAGTAAGATTTACCATGAAGATTTTATTGCAGAGTTATTTTTTAGTAATTTATTGCAGAGTTATTTTTTAACATAAATGTTCAAATTTTTCCCAATTTTTCCATATTCAATAACCCTCCACCAAACCAAATGAAAAAAACATACAAAACCAAAAAATGCTTCAAAAACAGAAAGTTGGAATTACATCTATTGAACATATTTACACATGAAATATCAAGATAAGTGCTAATTTTCTCAACTTTTTAAAAGTTAAAGTATTACAGTTGTACATAGTAGTTGGGTTTAATCTGAGACAATCATATATGCTTAGAATTTGATTTTAATTCATGTTTTCCCTTTTTCTTCCTCTCCTCCCTCTCCTCATATACCTTTTCTCTACTCTACTGGTGTTCTTTCCCCTCACCTATGTATTTTTGATTGGGTCTTTCTATATACACATAAAGTTGAAAAATCCTGTGGTGTATTATGTATACACATAGCATGATTTTTTAAAATTAATTTTGCATTATGTCCACTTTACCATCCCTCCTCTCTCTATCTTGATCTCCTTCAACTCTATTCGTCTTACCTATTATCTTTATAATATCCAATCCTTCCCTCCTTCTTTCCTTTATTTTACTCTAGTTTCCATGAAAGAGAGAAAATATGGCCCTTGATGTTTTTGAGTCTGGCTTATTTTACCTTGTATGATGTTCTTCATTGCCTTTCATTTACTAGTAAATTCTATAATTTCATTCCTCTCTCAATTTGAGGAAAATTCCATTGTGTATATGTAGTATAATTTTTTTTTACCATCAGGAACATCATTATGTTTATTCCAATATGTTACATTTCCTTCACATACTCCTTATAGGTGTTTAAACTGTGGTAAATGTATAGTCCATATAGAGGTACTTGTGCATAAATATAAACTATAATTATTCTCCTATTACATAGGACAAAATGGAAGTGATTTTCCAAAGATCGCTAAATTAGTACAGAGTAAGTAACTTAACTGCATACCATAAACTTTTTTTATTTTTTTTACTTATTTTTATTAGTTATACATGGCAGTAGAATGCATTAATGCACTTTGAAATATCATACATAGAGGGGATATAATTTTTCATTTTCTGAGTGTACATGTTGCAGAATCACATTGGTCATGCAGTCATATATATATATATATATATATATATATATATATATATATATACACACACACACACACACACACAAAGTAATAATGTCTGTTTCATTCTACTATCTTTTCTATCCCACATCCCCTCCCATCCCCTCCCTTCACCATTTCCCTCTACCTAATCTAAGGTAATGTTATTCCTCTGTAGTGACTCCTGCCTTGTTGTGAATTAGCATCTGCATATTAGAGAAAACATTTGGTCTTTGTTTTCTTAGGATTGGCTTATTTCATTTAGCATGATATTCTCTAACTTCATCCATTTACTGGAAAATCCATAATTTCTGAGTAATATTCCATTGTGTATATGTACCACATTTTCTTTGTCCATTCATCTATTGAAGTACATCTAGGTTGTTTCCACAGTTTAGCTATTGTGAATTGAGCTGCTATAAACATTGACATGGCTGCATTTGTAGTATGCTGATTACAGAGGAGGGAATACAATCAATCAACAAGTACACAAAAAAATGCTCAACATCTCTATCTATCAGTGAAATGCAAATTAAAACCACTCTAAGATACTATCTCACTCCAGTAAGAAAGGCAGTCATTATGAAGTCAAACAATAACAAGTTCTGGGGAGGATGTGGGGAAAAAGGTACACTTGTACATTGCTGGTAGGACTGCAAACTGGTGCCGCCAATTTGGAGGGCAGTATGGAGATTCCTTGGAAAGCTGGGAATGGAACCACCATTTGACCCAGCTATTTCCCTTCTTGGACTATACCCAAAAGACCTAAAAAGAGCATACTACAGGGACACAGCTACATCAATGTTCATAGCAGCACAATTCACAATAGCTAGACTGTGGAACCAACCCAGATGCCCTTCAACAGATGAATGGATTAAAAAAATGTGGCACATATACACAATGGAATATTACTCAGCATTAAAAAATAACAAAATCATAGCATTTGCAGGGAAATGGATGGCACTAGAGCAAATTATGCTAAGCAAAGTTAGCCAGTTCCTAAAAAACAAATGCCGGATGTCTTCTCTGATATAAGAGAGGTGACTCAAAACAGAGTAGGAAGGAAGAGCATGAGAAGAAGATTACCAGAAAACAAGGAAAAGAGGAGGGAGGGAAAGGGAGGGAGAAGGAGAATTGCACGGAAGATGGAAGGAGACCCTCATGGGTTCACAAAATACATATAGGATGGTGTGAGGGGGAAGGGAAGAAAAAAAAAGAAAGAGAGAGATAAGTGTCACAGTAGAATGGGTAGAGAATAGTGATGGGAGGGGAGGAGAGAGGAGGGGAGGATAGGGAGGGCAGCAGAATACAACTGACACTAGGATTGCTGTATGTATACACATGGATGTATAACCAATGTGATCCTGCAATGAGTACACGTGGAAAAATGAGAATTTATACCCTATTTGAATCAAATGTATGATATGTCAAGACCATTGTATTATCTTGAGCAACTAATAAAAAAAAAAAACAAGGAGAGGGATGGCTGGGTCAAATGGTGGTTTCTTCCTAAGTTTTCTGAGGAATTTTCATACTGCTTTCCATATTAGTTATACCAATTTGTAGCTCCACCAGCAATGTATGAATGTACCTTTTCTCCCCAAATCCTCTCCAACATTCATTGTTGCCTGTATTCTTTTTTTATATTTATTTATTTTTATTTCTTACATACATGGCAATAGTGGAATGCATTACATTCATAATTATCCATTCACAGCCAAATTTTTGTAACTCTGTATATAAAGTATGTTCACACCAAATTATGCCATTATATATGAGCTCTCTTATTGATTTTTTTTTGCATTACAATTCTTAATATACTTTTATACCACAATTTATCATATCTCTGTTTGTATATATACCACATTTGGTATATTGACACCGAATTCACATCTTCATACATGTATTGATGATTGCCATTCTGACAAAAGTGAGATGAAATCTTAGTCTAGTTTTGATTTGTGTTTCTCTAATTGCTAGAGATGATGAACACTTTTTCATATGTTTGTTGATCCAGTATATTTCTTCTTCTGTGAAGTGTCTGTTCAGTTTCTTAGCCCATTTTTGGTATTGGGTTATTGTGTGTGTGTGTGTGTGTGTGTGCTAAGTTTTTTGAGTTCTTTATATATCCTAGAGATTAATGTTTACTGGAGGTACATGTGGTAAAGATTTTCTCTCAATCTGTAGGCTGTCTGCTTGCATTATTGATTTTTTCCTTTGCTGAGAAGAAACTTTTTAATTTGAATCCATCCCATTTATTGATTATTTATATATATATATATATATATATATATATATATATATATTTTCAATTGCTGATGGACTTTTATTTTATTTATTTGTATATAGTGCTAAGAATTGAACCCAGTGCCTCATGCATACTAGGCGAGTGCTCTGCGATGGAGCCACAATCTCAGCCCCCATTTATTGATTCTTGATTTTATTTCTTGCACTTTGGGAGTCTTTTTTTCATTCTTCATACTTATTTAAATTCTACAGCTCTTGGATCAAGTACTGGGGTTATAAAGTTCAATATCTGTGTGTTCATCACCTAGCTGCCAGCGGGGTGTGGTAGGTGTTAGCTTCTGGTCTCCCAGTACAGGTTGGGTAGACTGGGGAGTGCTCATGAGTCATGTAATTCTGTAGTGGGGGGTGATGCAGAGTTCTAAATTGGAAGTCCACTGGTTGGGGTTTAGTCTTGAGTGAATTTTGGAACTCTGTTGGTGGGTATTGATCCATACCTCTTATTGCTGGGGAGCTGCCAATCTCTTCTCTACATCTGGATGTTTGGGGCCTTCAGTAAAATCCACTTTTAAGGAATACAAACTAATCCTCCACAGGTTTCACCTTCAGTGCTATAAATGTGAATCACCAGGTAGCAACTCTGGAGTGTAGACACTCCTGTGTGGGCACTGTAGGTGTCTTCCTAATAACTCC